CTACGTCGGCTGAGAACCGTTTCACGTCAAATTTGGCCCCAGTGCCGAGCCGGCGAAACCGATGAGACATTTTTAAGACCTCTGCTTCCCTCACCCTCAAATGCAGATAGTAGCATAGAAAAAAGGACAAAAATAGAGCAGGGGGCCTCTGTGGTACATATTTATGATGAGGTTGCACCCCCTCAAGACCCTGTACATGAAGGCGCTCGCCAACATACTAAGACTGTGGGTCCTTTAAATTTCTTGATGCTCTGTAGTGGGGGTGAGTCTGACAAACCAAGTCCTAAAAGGACATTTATGGCATTGCGAACCATCTCCTCAGAATCTGAGGATTTGGACGATGTGGAATAAAAGGAAATTACAACGTAGAACAAAATGAAATTAAGAATGAGCTATGCCCTGTGAGCCAAGGTAAGGCTATTGTCACAATTGCTTTCTAAATTGATTGAAAAAATGGAGGTCTTCACCCCTGTAATCTCTGTCTCATTTCACAAAAATTCAGCCCTTACTGCCATCTTTTAACCCTTCTCCATATGAGAAAAAGGAAGCTCCCATAAAAGTTTATAAAAGTGCGATATCTCAGGTTCTTATGCAAGGAAGACAACAGGGAGACCCTCAAGCTTATTCTTTTTTGGCGGAACCACAGATTGAATTCAGAACCATGCGCTTGCCAGGGAAGTGCTTATTCCATTGAGCCACCTCTCCAGTTCCCCTGAAGCTTATTCTGCCCCTTTGGGTTTTTTTCCTCTGGTGGTTCAACAACTCCCACCAAATGCTCAATTTCCCTAGGGGAGTGTACAATGGGAACACCAACCTCTGTTGTTCAACGTTGTTAAAAGATTTAAAGTAGGCTGTTACGGTCTATGGTATATAGTCAACCTATGTGATTGGATTAATGCAAGGATTAACAAATGAACATACATTAATTCTTCATGATTGGGAAGTTTTGTGCCATATAGTTTTGGAGCCAAGTCAATATATATAGCTAGTCTCACTACGGAGCTCAGACTTGTAGTGGTCCTCCTGTTTTCAGCCGCCCCAGCGTGGGGATTATAGGTGTGCGCCATCCCATGCCTGGTCTGGATGGCCAGCTCAGTGTGCCTGGGGGTGGGGCTGGCACAGCATGTAGTGCTGGGGATCATACCCTGGTCCCTCCACTTAGTTCACTGAGCTATCTTGCCAGCCCTATCCTGACCCCTTTTGACCTCTGTGTGCGTGCGCTCGCACACGCTCACTCACTCTCGTTCTCTTGCTCTCTCTCTCTGGCTCTCTCTCTTGTACTTAGTACAAGGTCTTACTACACAGATTGGACTCATAGTGATCCTCCTGTTTTCAACCTCCCAAGCTTTGGAATTATAGGTGTGCACCCTCATGCCCAGTCTCAGTCACTGTCTCACTGTGCCCCAGCAGCAGAACTGCACAGAGGGATTGAACCTTGGTCCCTGTGTTTGCCTAAGCAGGTGCTTTTTTTTTTTTTTTTTTCCCTTTTTTCCTTTTTCATTTTGTCTTTTGGTGGTACCAGGGATTGAACTCAGGACCTTTCACTTGCCAGGCAAACACTTATTCACTGAGTGAATGTCTCCAGCCCTAAGTAGGTACTTTAATCTGCTGAATTATTTGGCCAGCCCCTTACAGACTTCTTTTAAGCAAAATCATGCCAAATGTTTTAACTGTGGGAAAATGAGTCATATGAGAGAAGATTGCAGTAAAGGACAAGATAAAAAGGAAAAAAGGAGATAAGAATAGGAAAACTGCTCATGGACTTTGGTTGTCTGAGATGTAGAAAAGGTAGACATTGGGCTCATGAATACAGCTCCAAACTTGGTTAGAGTGGCCAACCCTTCTAACCATTTTCCAGTTGTAAATGGAAAATGGGCCCAACATCAGGGGCCTGGAGATAAACAATGTGGGATACCCACAGTTTCCTTTGGTTAGCCTGAATTTCAGCCAAAGACAGGGTTTCAGATCTTTTCTATGCAACCTGTGGAAGAACGGCTTTAGATCTGATGGCTACAGAAAATTAGCTTTTGTTCCAAGCTTGTGGAGTTCACAAAATTCTGGAGTTTTTGGCCCTATTCCAAAAGATACTGTAGGTCTTATTGTAGAAAGGAGTAGTATTACTACCTAAGGTGTATTGTACATTTGGCAATTATTGGTAGTGATTATGAAGAGAAATCTTAATATTTACTTCTAAACCTTTTCAAATTAAAACTCAACAGTGAATCGTGCAGCTATTAATCATGCCATATATATTCTCTTTAAAAATGGTTTTGGTACTAAAAAATAATGGTTTTGCTACAAAAGTAAATTAAGAAACACAGGTTTTGATATGTCTGTGGCAATTCACTATTGTTAATCTCATGGTGCATTAAGTGTATTCTTGATTCCGGGTGTACAGTCTTCCAAAATGTAAAATAAAGATTGTTTATTGTGATAAGACTTTCAGATTTAAACCTCTGCCTTTGGGACTGGCCGAATAGCTCAGCGGATTAAAGTGCCTGCAAGTAGGCTCGGGGGTTGGGGGTTCAATCCCTGGGCCTGCTCTGCTGCCCCGGCCCCAGGTTCACTGAGACAGCAATTGAGACTGGGCGTGGTGGCGTACACCTATAATCCCAGCTCTTGGGAGGCTGTAAACAGGTGGATCACTGCAAGTCAAATTTAGTAGTGAGACCCTGAACACCCTGTAGACCCTTCCCTAAAAATACAAAAAACCAAAAAACAAAAAATCCCTCTGCTTTTAACAACAAAAAAACTTATATATATCCCATTTAAGGATGACTCATTAGGTGAAAATTTCATATGTAGTAGAGATGATTGGTTAAAAGTGTTATGTCAACAAAAATTTAAGTATGTCACAAAATGTCATCAGGATTATCTTAATTTTATTTATTTATTTATTTATTTATTTATCTTAATTTTATTTATTTGTGTGTGTATTTGTGTGTGTGTGTGTGTATGTGTGGCCAGCTCAGCCCACCAGGGGGCAGGGCTGGCTGGCATGTGGTGCTGGGGGATTGAACCGCGGTCCCTGATGCTTTTGCTAAGCTTGTTCTAAGTAGGTGCTTTAGACCACTGAGCCATCTCTCCAGCCCATCAGGATTATCTTGTACATTGTTTTGATTTCTAAATTTCTGTGTAAAAATATGTAACCTGACTGTTAATGTTCTATAATAATTTAAATATTAGGATATTCATGGACAATTAGAGAAAGAGCTAGTAACTTAAAAGAAATGTTCATAAACAAAAAGGGGGAATTGGTATGGGAATACACGTGAATACACCTAGATCAGTTGTATGAAAATCTGTTTACATTAAAGTTTTTAAATTGATTGCCAGAGGGATTTTCTGCTACAGACCATCACTGGACAAAAGAAATAGCTGAGAAGTGATTTGGGTGCTGGCTTGATGAATAAAACCTAGACATTGAGCAAACAAATATTTTGATGGAAAAGTAGTACTAACTTGTTTCTTGTAGTGGTTGTTCTGCTTTCATTTCCCATAAGTGCTCATGCTAATTACAGTTATTGGGGCACATCATGCTTATGTGCCTAATCCATTGAATCGGGACCATTGGTGGGACTTTACAGTTCCTATATATGTAAATGAGAGTTCATGGTTACCTGGACCATATGATGTGAGAGGACCCTTGGTCCCACTGGAAGAAGGCATGCTTCTACATTTTTATGAGGTAGGAGTGGAAGGAGGGCCTGTTTACTTTGGCCAGGGGTGTCACTGTTTACAACCCCATCCTCAGGCTTGGTTTTCAGTGGTAAAAAGTGTAACTGAGAAAAAGGGTCACAAAAAGGGAATGTTCATATTGTTATATACTTACAAGCTGTGGAGTTCACAAAATTCTGGAGTTTTTGGCCCTATTCCAAAAGATACTATAGGTCTTATTGTAGAAAAGAGTAGTATTACTAGCTAAGGTGTATTGTACATTTGGCAATTATTGGTAGCGATTATGAAGGAGAAATCTTAATGACATTTACTACTAAACCTTTTTAAATGAAAACTCAACAGTGAATTGTCGAACTATTAATCTTGCCATATATATTCTCTTTAAAAATGTTGGGCTGGTGAGATGGCTCAGTGGTCTAAAGCACCTACTTAGAACAAGCTTAGTAAAGCACAGGGACCGCGGTTCAATCCCCCAGCACCACATGCCAGCCAGCCCCGCCCCCTGGTGGGCTGAGCTGGCCACACATACACACATACACACAAATAATAAAAAATAAAATAAAATAAATTAAAAAAAATGTTTTTGGTACTGGGGGGAGAGAGAGAGAGAGAGAGAGAGAGAGAGAGAGGGATAGGGACAGATTGATGAGGAAAAAATTGCACCTCTTGACATAGCCCTTTTCCAGACTACTAGTGTTGTCTTTATAAGTGATTTGTTATATTGGGAAACCTGTAGAGGGGGGTCACCCTAGTTTTAGTTAATACTTCCAAAGGAAGTGTCATAGATTGTAGCCCTCATGGTTCTGCTTGGTTGGAGGGGCAAAGAAAGGATTTAAGATGGTGGCATAATAGGACTGATGAAGTATATACAAATAATCAAGACAGTAACCAGTCTGTAGTGTGGCACAGAGGGGGAAGTCTCCTGGTGCTCCTTATTTACCTGGAAGATCTATACAACATCATTGATGGAAATTGAGAAACTGCTTATGACCAGCGTCTGCTTGGAAGGGCCATATTTGGAAAAATGTAATAACTAATGCAACACAAGCTCTCATTTAAGAGAAAACTCATTATGTGTAGGCTTGTGTTCACCTCCCACATCTTAAGCTGGTGGGACCAGCCCAATGAAACTCTTCTAATTATACAATTACTTTTATTTACTGTTCTCTGTACACTTGCCTTAACTCTTCTATTAGTCTT